GAATTTTCTCTTCCCCACTCCCTGCCTGAGCCCATCTCAGCTCCTATTCCTCTTGTCTAACTGCAGTGCAATAGGGAAGTATGAAAGAGACCCAGAAAGAGAGAACATAGAGCTGAGAGTGAAATGGCAGGAAGGACACATAGTTGATTCAAAAACAGCTACAGCCACAGCAACAGACAGCTAACACCTTCAGATAATTAAGACCCCAGATATGGAGAGAAGATGAATGAGGGGATAAAAGGGGGGAAGAATAAGACAGAGAGCTGAGGTCCTTAAGGAAGACAGGACAAAGAAGGAGTGATAGGAAGGGAACTAAAGAGACTGGAAGTTTGGAAAGAGGAAGGAAAGAATAATGAGTGGAAAGGAAACACTGGGAGGACCAGAGACTAAGAATTTTTGGGAAGGCTAGAGTGTTTGTAGAGACTTGTGAAACTGGAAGGAAGTACCAGAATCTGAAAAGAGTGATACAGAAAAATAGGATTTGGAACATCAGCCAAGGACTGCTACTGGAGACACCTGGAAAACATCAGAAGGGGAGAAGTTCAAAGAGTGTTAAGAACACCAGAAGAAGCCCAAGCAGAACATTCACACTCAATGAAAGGAGGAGGGAACTCAATGCACAGCTTGGGAGCCTGTTAGTTTCCCATTCATGCTTCCCCAGCCATATGGAGCATTGCTGGATCTCAGGAAACTGAAAACAGGGAAAAACAACAAGGAGTCCTTGTGGCACCTTAGAGACTAACAAATTTATTTGGGCATAAGCTTTCGTGGGCTAGAACCCACTTCATCAGATGCATGGAGTGGAAAATACAGGAGCAGGTATAAATGCATGAAAAGATGGGAGTTGCCTTACCAAGTGTAAGGAGAGTCTAACGAGACAATTCAATTAACAGTAGGATACCAATGGAGGAAAAATAACTCAGCAAATCAGCAGCCAACCAGAAACAGTCATCTACGCACTCAGTAGCTTGATATCAATCGAACTTTTCCTCATTTTCACTCTCTCTCACATTGGGAAGGAGTAGGGGAAAGGAGCACCTAAAATTTAGTTGATGGCTCTCTCAAAATAGTAGAGAGGGTAGGAGGTGTTATTCTTCAATTGTTAAAATAAATTATAAATATTTGAAAACAGACTATGGATGAAAATGTGTTAAAACATTTGACAGTCAAGGGTTACAATAAATTAGGCAAGGGTTAAAAGGAATTTACCAATACCACTAACAACAAAATTATACAGTAGTGCTAAAAGCAATTTTTTAATACAAATACTGGATAAGTATAAAAAATATTCAAACATAGAAAATAAAATGCATAAAAATTATATTTAAAAATAAGAAAAGATTAAGTATGTATAAAGCCAAAAGGCATGGGTTAAATATATGGCAATTAAAACTACAAAACAGAGTAAACAAATGTTAAATATAGTTTTTAAAACAAAAAAGGAAAGAGTTATTCAAAACACTGAAATGGCAACGGTTAGATACAATTTTTTTTAAAAACAGTACAATCAAAATTCAGAAAAAGGAAGGGTTAAAATACTCTACATAGCGACAATAGGCCATGATGAATAACGTCAAAGCAACAGACACTAGGCTGGGGTTAAGTAAGAAAAAGTGGAATTCTGCTTTAGTCATGAGATAATGATGGGGAAGTCTTAGGTCTCTTTACTTGGTTTGTCTGCCAGGCCCCAATCCTACAAAGCAGCTCCATGGAGACAGACCCCTGACCTGCATAGCAGATTATTAACTACACCAGGGGTCGGCAACGTTCGGCACGCGGCTCGCCAGGGTAAGCACCCTGGCGAGCCGGGCCAGTTTTATTTACCTGCTGACGCGGCAGGTTCGGCCTATCGCGGTCCCCAGGGGCCGCGGTTCGCCGTCCTGGGCCAATGGCGGTGGCGAGAAGCGGCGCAGGCGAGCGATGTGCTGGCTGCGGCTTCTTGCTGCCCCCATTGGCCCAGGACGGCGAACCGCGGCC